CAAAATTGCTCCCGCTTTAAATACTGTTTGCAAGTCCTGGGCCAACTGGACATCTGAACAACTAGCTATAAAGTCGGTGGTGGTGGTGGGGGATGTTCCCACAGCCCACTCCTCAGGTTTGATCATTTGTGAGACGGCTCACAGAACTCAGGCACTTTGCTTAGTATTACTAAGTTTATTATAAGAATACAAATCAGGAATAGCCAAATGGAAGAAATGCACAGGGCAAGATAGGGGATGTGTGTGTGGGTGCGTACGTGCAACACTTCTACTCCCTCTCCAGTGTCATCCTCCCCACAGCGCCCCAATGTGTTCACCAACCTCGAAGTTCAACCCTCTGGCTTCAGAGTGGGTTAAGTCTTTGTGGAGGTTCCATTTTATAGTCATAATGGATTAAGTCATTGGCCATTGCTGATTGACTCAGTCTCTAACCTGGAGGTGGAGTTAGGGCTCAGTGTTCTAACCCTCTAATAACATGGCTGATTCCCCTGCCAACCAGTCCCCATCCTGAAGCTATTTAGGGGCTTCCAGCCCCTAATACCATTAGCTCATGTAAGGGGGCTTATTATGAATAACAAAAGATACACTTTGCCCCATCACTTGGGAAATTCATGGATTTTAGAAGCTCCAGTGCTAGGAACCAGGGACAGAACCAAATCTATAATTCTCATATCACAATATCACAACCTTACTCTGGCCAGCCCTCCTGTGAGACAGTAGATTGGCCAAGATAACTTTTGATGCTTGGTTTCAGTTTAGTACCACTCAGCGGAGGAATAGAGGGAAGAGAAGAATTTGCTTCTGGATTCTCACAGAGCACAAACATTAAAAGTATTTATTAAACATCTGTTTTATCTCATCTTGTGATGGCCATGGAATTTTTGGTGTGGAATGTAGCACTGCGTAGAATGGTTTTATGAGAGAAAATACAGGGATGATCTCCACGGACGGGTTTAGGAGAGGAAGGTGATAGCACCTTGAAAGCCATGCTTTCTGGAAGAAACATGGTACAGCCCGTGCATATCAGAATGCTTACAAGTATCACCGCTTGCCTGGCCCAGGACTAGAGAGCTCAGTCATGTTAACGTCACCTCCTTGTGAGTGCTGGCTGACAGTCTGGGTAATGTCATTTCAGAATCTGGATTTAGAGATTAGAGAGAGGTTAGAGAGAGGGTTAGAGAGAGGTTAGAGGGTTAGAAGACAAGTTGGGGACCTTTTTGCCTCCACTTTTAGCATACTTGGGAGAATTTTAACAGTAAACTCTTACTTCTTTCTCATTTCCCATCCAGTGGTCTGTGTTCTCCCCCAGTTCTTCCTCAGGTTTGCTCCTGCCTTCCTGGTTTGTTTTGAACTGTTCTCTTGGCTCAGACTCTAAGGCCAATATGTATAGCACCCATCTGTTTCCTTCCTGCCGCTTACCATGAACCCCATCTGCAGCACAGACAGGTTGAATGGTGGTGTGGATTATTTATTAAATCTTTGTGTGTGGGTAGCCCATTTTCTGTCCATCTCATCTGTTCTAACAGACAAGTAACTTCTGGCCTGCAATAAGGAGAAACTAGATAAAAGAGAAGAATTTTAGATCTCAAGGGATGTGCCATTGACCTTGTCCTCCAGTGGTATGTGGGGGGGCATCTTTCTTGCTGTGTTCTCTAGAAACTGAACTCTCTAAATATCCATATGTAACTAATTTTAGGGAATCCGTAGAACCAGATTTTTCTTTACCCGAGTTGAGTGCCTTAGCAGCACTGAAAAGGAAAATCCTTTCATGTGGCCTTTCTTTGCTTAAGTACTTTTGGTCATATCCTCTGAGGCTTAATATCCTTTTGATCTTCCCAATCCAGTTTTAATTTGGTCAGTTGAACTTAGGGAAGGATTTAAAGACAGCACTAATAATGTGGCTTTGGGATAACGTAGATAGGAACCTTTGGTCCTGAATGTACTTTGATGAATTTTTTTGTTTTGTTTTGGCTTGTCAAATGCTGTCTGGGGGAAATAAACTTCAGTCTGTTTCTTGGTGTTTGCTACGTTTTGTTCTTAAGTAAAACTTCCCATTCTATGTTTTGTGTTCTTCTGCAGTAGGATGTCTGGTTTATCATTGAAGATAAAACCTAATGTCATCTCTGAGAGTGTATTGATAGTTGCAGAAGTGTGGATGACATTGGCATAGATGCGTTCTTAACTTATTAAAAGTATTTAGAGAGCTGTCATGTAGAGCTGTGCTGTCCTGTACGATAGCCTCCAGCTACTGGCACTTGAAGTCTAAACTTAACAATTCAATTCCTTAGATACACAAGTCACATTTCCACTGCTCAGGAGCCATATGTGGCTAATGTGATATTGACCATTTGGGCCTGATAATTCTTTGCTGGGGTGGGGTGAGGGGCCGTCCTGTGCCATGTGGAATGTTTAGCAGCATTCCTGGCCCCACCTAGTAGAGGCCAGGAGCATCTAGTCACAACAATCAAAAATGTCTGCCCAGATTGCCACATGTCCCCTGAGGAACAAAATCCTCTCTGGGTGAGGATAACTTGCTTATTAGTTCATCCAGTACAGATAAAAAACATTTCCATGAACCAAGACAATACTGTTCGAGAATAATCTCCAGCAGAGTTTGGTTGGCGGGCATTTATAGATTAAGCATTTTGAGCTTTAGAGGAATCAGATTAGTCATCTGGTCCAAAGCCCTGGGAAACTGAGGCACTGAGTGTAAAGTTTCACAGGCAAGGTAAACACAACACCAAGCAAGGTGGGCGCAAGGCAAGATTTATTAAAGGTACTCTCTGGCGAAGTTTCAGGGCTCGGGAGAAGGGGAGCCAGGAAAGTCCTGCCGGGAGGAGGTGGTGGGCACTCTCAGGCGAGGTTCCGCGACTAGGAAAGGGGAAGTCGAGGAAGTCGCACTGGGAGGGAGTTGGTGGGGGTTTTTTATCGGGCCAAGGTAGGACATGGGCTCACGTCCATATGTGGTAGGGTATTTGGTGATTGGAGGGTATGGCGTGGGGGGTCCTGATACTTCTGTTTCCTGCATAGGTATCGGGTTACCTGTGGAGACGTGACCTGGGCATACATCCTTTTGGCAGGAGAGTCAAGGGTTAAGGAAAAGGGCTGGGGGTGGGGGGAGGCTGAAAGACCGGGGCGGTGATCATTTCTATTGTTCCTCCTGCACTCCCGAAGCCCTCTGACCCAACTTTGAGAGGTTTGGGGTGACTTAACGTCCATAGCATGGATGTATCAATCTAGACTGCTAGAATTCTAGTTCATGCAGCCTAGAGGACAGACTTATGATTATCATATCAGCCTATTCCCTCATTCCTATGTTCTCGCACTTAGTGGTGGCTCTGGGGAGGACAGAGTCCTCAGAAATGGGAAGGGCCCAGTCCTGAGCCTTGAAACAGATTCCTTACCTTAACCTTGTGCACCTCTGTTTTACTCCTCCATGACCTGTGGCTTTCTTTAAGGCTGGAGTTGGAGGGGTGTCTGGGACATCTTGTAGACCCACCTTTGCTGTCTCAGAAAGTGGAGCCCTGTTGGGTTTCCCAGTTACGTCAGTGCAGAGAGATTGGGAACATGCTGCTTGGGCCATGGAAGGTTGCAGTCCTATAAAATTTCCTTTTTGTTAACTGTTAAATTTCCAGTATCTCCTCTGTCGGCTTCCCTGTAGTGGTCCATGGGCAAACCTTTAAAAGGAAATGCCTGGAGGTTTTGATCTTCAGAGATCACGAGGAAGCAAGAGAGCCCTGCAGAATGTTCTGGGGAGGGTGAAGGAATCTCTCTAAGGGTGCTGGTATCCACAGAAAGGGGGGCTGGAAAGTAGGCTTAACTAGGAGAGATCTGGAGGGCAGGCCGGCCCGCAGAGTGACCCAGCGGCCCCAGGATGTGCCCCAGGATCTCATCTCCCTGAATTAATCCTGTATACCTCCTACACCTCTCCATGACTCTTCTTCAGTGACTGATTTTATTCTCTCCTCTGTTCCAAAGGCTTCAGTGGCTCACTGCTTCCTTTTCACATGTGAAACTTCTTGGCCTTCTTCTACTCAAGGCCCATTTGCTTTTGTATGGCGATCTCCTCTTTTCCTTTGTAAGAGTAAAAACCAGTTTTTATGCACATGAAAGCTTTATTGTTGCCGTGATTCACAGAATGATTCTGTCTGAGGCTTGGGCTTGGCATTGGTGGAGGCTTTGCTCCAAGCAGCTTGATGTTTAAGAGGTCACTCAGGAAGAAGTTTTGTTTCTTTTGTTTGTTTGTTTCTTTCTTTTTTAATATTTTATTTATTTATTTGACAGAGAGATCACAATTAGGCAGGGAGGCAGGCAGGGGAGAGGGCAGGCTCCCCGCTGAGCAGAGAGCTCGATGCGGGGCTTGATCCCAGGACCCTGAGATCATGACCTGAGCTGAAGGCAGAGACTTAACCCACTGAGCCACCCAGTCGCCCCGAAGTTTTGTTTCTGATGATACTTTGTTGAGTTGGTAGCCCAGACAGCTACTTAAAATCATTACGTAGCTCAAAAGTCAAGGCCCAGGGAACAGGCCAGAAAGAGTGGCAATGAAAACAGGCGAAGAGCTGTGTGTAAATAAACCCTCGAGTAACCTTGGGCTGTGGGCCGGTTTGGTTCTGTAACACCATGGGCCCAGTGAGCTGTGGCCCGGGTCAAAGGCCAGTATCCTGAGGAGCCAGCTGTCAGAGTTTAGCTGCAAACAAGCTAATGTGTAAACTTGCCTCCAGGTCTTTTCGAGTGGCTTCATTTTCCCAGCCTCACTGAGAAGGGACTTTATTTCAGGGTTTGCTGACCAGCTGCTGTTCCACTGAACTGTTGATGTTTTCCTTTGGGAAACCGGTCTTCTTGAGTGTCTCCCCAGTGAAGGGGAAGGTATCCGATTTGGGGACAGCTTTTGATTTCAGTGACGGGAGGGTGGGGACCGGGAGGACCGGGGTCCTGCTGGTCAGTGTGACTGTGGCCACTGTTGTTCACCAGCTCTGCGTCTCCCCTTTGCTCCACAGACCAACGAGTGGAACAAGAATGATGACCGGCTGCTACAGGCTGTGGAGAATGGAGATCCTGAGAAGGTGGCCTCCCTGCTGGGCAAGAAGGGGGCCAGTGCCACCAAGCACGACAGCGAGGGCAAGACCGCGTAAGCTCAAAAGATTGGTTGCTAACTGTAGCGATTCTGGCTTCTTGAGAGTGTTCTCTGGAGTCCTTGGGATCCATGAGGGAACTTCACAAATGCCTTGAAGGAGACTTTGTGAAATGACTGTCATCTCCCGTTCCTACCCCTCATGTTAAAATGTGTAGGAGGATATTTTCAATTGGTTCCTGTCTCTTTAAGTTCCAAATTGCACACTGGGCTTTACCGTCAGTGGCTGTATTTGTTTTCAGGTGTAACCAAAGATTGCACCAGAGACGAAATAGAACCAGATTGCAACCAAGTGATACGTGGGGAAGGAATTCTGTCCTACATTAGAAACAGCATAAAAGAGGGTAATTTTTTCATAACCCTCAGGCCTTACTATTTATATTGTTACTTCTTTTAAAACCCCTTCCTTAATGTTGATCAGTGATTACATGAGTAGTGTGAATTTTGCATTATACTTTGCCGTTGGTGGTACTCTTGCCTGCCATAATTAGAATTATAGATTTGTTTAAGGGGAGTGTGTGTGTGTGTGTGTGTGTGTGTGTGCGCGTGCGTGTGTGTTTATTTGTATCCATGCTTTCTCTGGTCATATTGTAGAGAGGTCATTGACTTTGTAGCTAAGCAGACTTCTAATCTGGAATTCATCACTTATGAGTCGTGTAGTCTTTGAATCTTAATTTATTCAGTTTCAATGGGAGATGATAATATCTAACCACTAGGGTGATTCTGAATATAAAACAAGATCCTGACTTTGGTTAGGCACCTCCAGAAGCAGGTTCTGAGACAAAGATTTGAGTGTGAGCTGTTTCTCTAGCCAGCGCTCCCAGGAGCACACAGGAAAGGCCTGAAAGCCCAATGGTTTGTTACTGACGGGCTCCTGCTATGGGCAGCTGGAACCCCATCCTGCTAAGACCTTTGGGAGTCTCTTTTTAGACTCAGAGGAGGGGTTGGCCACCTCTGGCCCACAGTCTGTTTTTGTAAATAAAGTTTTTTGGGGGGCGGTATAGCCAAATCCATTACATAGCATTGGCTGTGGCTGCTTCTGCCCTGCAAAGGCAGGTCGGAGGAGTTAAGGCTTACAAACCCCAGCATACTGACTCTCTGGCCCCTTGCAGAACTAGTGTTCGTACCCCAGGTTCCAGGTATGCCTGAGAGTTACCCAATCCAAGGGGTAAGGAAGCTGGGGTTTCTGTTCCTAATCACTTGTCCCTCCAAGGTGGAGCGCTACTTCTAGGGCCCATTATGATTGCGGGCATAACGGGTCCAAGAGATTAGAAAAGGGGCACCTCGTAGCTATAGGCACCCTATGTAAAGAGCTGGCGATGGCCCCCAGTAGGAACCTGATCAAGCCAGTTCCCTTTCTTTCTTCTCCTCGATGAGTGGGTTCTCGATCCTGGCAGCTCCTGGCCGAGACTCACGTGGGGTACTTTAAAAACATACTGATGCCCCAGGCAGTCCAGATGTTCAGAAACATTTCGTCAACGGAGAGGCCCAGGGATCAGTATTTTTTAAAGCATCCCATGCCAGTTCAACCAGAGAGCACCATCGTCCAGAGACGAGATTGACTCTAGATTGGTTGACAGATAGTGAGAAAAAAAGGCAAATTTTCAGGAGAAGATTGAGCCTCACATTTGAAAATTTTGTCAATGAAACCCTCTTTCTGGAACCCGCTGAGTCCCACAGCCTGGACACCAGTTCTGTTGTTGGGGGTCAGGCTTGGTGATATGCAAGGGGAAGAGGGAAGTGTTCTCACTCGGATTGGAGTCTGGTTCCCTAAGAGCCAGGCTCGTGCTCTCCACCGAAGCCCCAGGCTGAGCTCCTCGCCATCAGCCTGAGTTTGACTTCCCAACTTTGCAGAGCCCTGTGTCTTGGGTGTGGGGCCCAGGGCCATGTCTTGGTAGATTCTGATGCAGGAGGCAGGGTGGGGCAATGATCCTGTTGAATGAGTTGCCTACTCAACCTTACATAATGCTTTGTTCTTAACCCTCTTGCAGTCTAGATTGTAATTTCCTTGACAAAAGGGTCTGTTTACCTTGTAGCTCATCCCTATAGTGACACCATCTAGCCCCCTGCTCAGATTACAGATACTCAAAAAAGATTTCTAGAAGGCGTATTACCCTTTTCCCCCAGGAAGCCCCATTTGGAGTCCGGGCTTCTGAGCGTCAGCAGCAGAGGCCACACTCCTAAACCTGCCGTGAGAGTTTTGGACTCTTCTTGTCTGCTTCTTGTCCCGCTCGAGCTCCCTGGGCTCCTGCGGATCCCAGCTCCCACAGTCTCTTACATCCCTCCAAGAGAGACGGCAGGTAGATGTTTCTGAGAGTTTTGTCCAAGACAGTACTCACAAAAAAGAAGGTGGAAAATTTAGGTTAGCAGCTTAGCCACAACTGTGATCACGTTAATAAATTTGTACCTTTTGTTAATAAGATGTTAATTATGGGTCGAGTAGATGGCCAGGTAGTTCATTTCTCTCTCTTGTTGTGGGAAAATATACATAACATCAACCTTACCATCTTAACCATTTTAAAGTGCTCATTTCATTGACATTAAGTGCATTCCCAGTGTTGCGTGACCATCAACCTTTAGTTCCAGAAATTCTTCATTGTCCCCAAAGGAAACCTTGTGCTCCCTAAGCAGTGACCCTCCTCAGCCTGCCTCCCTTCCCCTGGCAACCACTAATCTGCTTTCTGTCTCTGTGGATTTGCCTATTCCGGAGATTTAATATAAATGGAATCATGCTATTGGACCCCTTGGCTGAGGGTTTTTTTTTTTTTTTTAACCAAGTGTAAGGTTTTCAAAGTTCATCCTTGCCGTAACACAGATCAGTTCTTCATTCTATTATCTTTTTTAAAGATTTTATTCATTTATTTGAGAGAGAGAGAGAGAGCACAAGCAGGGAGGAGAGGGAGAATAAGGCTCCCAGCTCAGAGCCCGATGTGGGGCCTGATCTAGGACCCCGAGATCATGACCTGAGCTAAAGGCAGATGCCTAATCGGCTGAGCCACCCAGGCGCCCCATTCTCTTACCTTTTAATGGCAGCAGTGAGTACGGCAGTTAGACCAAAATCACCCCCTCTGTTTTGCAGATGGTAAAACCAAGGCTCATGGGATCTGCCTCTCCCTGAATTAACTCCAGAACCAGTTCTAAGTTCTACCCTTGCCTTCATAATTACAAGTCTGCTTTTTTTTTCTTTTTCTTTTTTTTTTGCTTTGATGACTTCTGTGTAGAAAGTTAGAGGAACTATTAAAAAAAGGAAGAGAAGGTCTTTCATTATTTTTTCAGTGGAAGATTTTTCATAAATAATCATCTGTTATTTTTCATAAATAATCATCTGTTAATATTTAACTTTTCTGCTTGGCATAGTCCTTATGATGATTAAAGTTGCTAAGTGATAACTGCAAGGGTTGAATTGTCAGAGGCCCCACCGGGTTCAGTCTATCTCACTTCATAGTTTCATTCAAACCTGGTAGTTCTGGTATCCAGAAGAAGGGGGCGCTGTGGGGTTGGACACCATGCCTCCTGTCCCTTTGGCGGCATGGAATTGTGCCCGGCCCAGAGCTCCGTTGTAACATAAACCCTAAGCAGTGTTGTTCCCCTGGCTCCTGTCCCCTCACCTCTGGAGGTCTGCACTTCCATATTTGGGTTAGTCGAATCTGTGCATTCCTGCCCGAGTACACCTGTGTCTCCCTCACGTTTGAAGATTTTTCTCGAGCTGTGGAGACTTCTCCTTTGTCCTATCCCGTTCTCGCCACATGCATTGGTCGGCTAGCACGCAGACCAGTAACTGAGTCCGTGGCAGGCCGAGGCAGTGGGTCCCCTCTGCTGAAACTCTTGGCTGCACTGGCCCCGTGGAGTTTGCTGGCTTAGCATTCGTTTGTGGACGTGTATGGAGGGGTTGGCAGCTGTCTCCATAGGTAAGGCCAGGCACACACTTGGTTAGGTCCTTGCCTCATCCTCTGCCTACTCGTTTGGGTTTACTCTTTGACTTATCCACCTCCCGCCCAATTAGACTGGAGGCCTCTTTTCTAACAAGCTTTTGTACTAACCCATTTTATAGTTCTGTTCAGTAATGGACAATGTTTTCCTCTTGCCAGACAACCTTGTCCTGATTTGGGCTTTCCAGGCCCTACCACTGGCCCTGCCATGACTCCACTTGCCTTCCACTGCCATTACTCTTGTCCTTGACCTTCTTCTGGAGGCAGGGCTGTTGGCTCCCTGCCGTCCCCTCCTTTGCCCAGGTTCGGTGTCCAGTCCAGAAGGCCTCTGCTCTGATGTTCTCAGTCCTTGTAAAATTTTTCTTCTCTCTGAAATCCTGGAATCTTGATTACAACTTGACTTATTCTACGGAAAGAACAAGAACAACAGAAAAGGCTCTAGAGCTTTAAAAAAAAACCCTTTGTTGTCTGAAAGGCTTGAATCCCTTATAACACAGTAAGCTCCCTGAGGACAAGGATCACGTGATTTTTGTTGTTGTGTTGGGGTCTCCCACAGTTCCGGGCAGAGAAGAGGCATTCAGTCAGTATTTGTGGACGTGTCTTTTCAGCATGACACTTATGGAGAAAACACTCTTTGTTAGTGATAACTCATGGGTAAATTGATTAGGAGTAGATTAACTTGGGGTTCAAGAGGGAAAGAACTATTCTGGTGGACAGCAGAACCTGAAGCTGCCCTTCTCCCCGCTTCCAGTGCAATTGAAAGAGAGAAATACTCAGCCTTTACTAACTAGAGAACCAGCTAACCCTGGGAAATAATGAGGTGGCAATGGCCACCATCTTGGTGGACATTCTCCAGAAGCCTCCATAACCCAAGGTCAATGACCAGAAGGGCGCTTTGATAATTCTTCAGACTTTGAGTTTCTTTCTGCCACATTTCCTTTAGGGAAAGCGAAGAAACTTTGTCTGAAAATTTTCTGCCTCTAAAACTGATCAGAGAGGGGTTAAAAAAAAAAAAGAAAGCAATCGAATGACTGGAATTCATTTAGGAACAAGTAAAAGAAGGGTGCT